AAGTTCTCATGTTGTGTTTCTCAGCTCCATCACATCAGTTATGTTCCTCTTTAAATTGGCTATTTTTGAGTTGATTTTTGTGTATGGTATAAGGGTCCAATTTTATTCTTTTGGATATGGAAATTGTTTTTCCAGCCTCGTTCATGGAAGAAACTATTGTTTCCCCATTTCTTTTGGTGCCCTGATGGAAAATTAGTTGACTGTGTATGTTTGGACTTATTTCTGGGCTCTCTGTTGTGTTCCATTGGTCTGTGTTTCTGTTTTTATGCAAGTACTATATTGTTTTGGTTAGTGTGGCTTTATAGTATACTTTTAAATCAGAAAGTGTGTACCTCCAACTTTCTTTTCCTTCTCAGTTTTGCTGTTGTTATCCAGGGTTTATTGTGATTCCAGACTAATTTTATGATTTTTTTTTCTTCTATTTCTGTGAAGGATGCCATTGGAATTTTGATAAAGATTGTATTAAATATGTACTTCTTTGGGTAGTATGGACATTTTAACAATATTAATTCTTTCAATCCAAAAACGCAGGATATCTTCCCATTTATTTTTGTTTTGGATTTCTGTCACCATTGTTTTATAGCTTTCAGTGTACAGATCTTTATCTCCTTAATTAAACTTATTCCTAAGCATTTTATTTTTTGATGCTATCATAACTGGGATTGTTTTCTGGATTTCTTTTTCAGTTAAGTTATTATTTGTGTTTAAAAATGCTACTAATCTCTGTATATTGATTTTGAATCCTGCAACTTTACTGAATTATTAGTTCTAAGTTTTTTTAATGAGTTTTTGATTTTTTTTACATGTAATGTCTGCAAATAAAGATAATTTTACTTCTTCCTTTCAAATTTGAATTCCTTTTATTTATTTTTTTCTTATCTGATTGCTCTTGCTAGTACTTCCAGTACTATGTTGAATAGAAGCATTGAGAGTGGGCATCCCTGTGTTGTACTGTATTTTAGTGGAAAAGCTTTCAGTTGTTCCCCATTGATTATGATGTTGGCTGTGGATTTTTCATAAATGCCCTTTGTTATGTTAGTTGAGAAGTTTTCCTTATATGCCTGTGTTTTAAGAGATTTTTATCAAGAAAGGATGTTGAACTTGTCAAATGCTTTTTCTGTACCAATTGAGATGATTTGTGTTTTTTATCTTTCCTTCTGTTAATGTGATATATCACAGTGGTTGATTTGCATGTATTAAACCAGACTTTCTTGCCAGGAATAAATCCACTTGGCCAGGATGTATAATCCTTTTTGATGTGTTGTTGAATTCAGTTTGCTTATATTTTGTTGAGGATTTTTGCGTCAATATTCATCAGAGATACTGGCCTATAGTTTTCTTGTAGTATATTTATGTGGCCTAGGTATCAAAGTGATAGTAGCCTCACAAAATATGTTTGGAAATATTCCCTCTAGCTGTATTTTTTTGGAATAGTTTATGAAGTATTAGTAGTGATTCTTCTTTGAATGTTTGGTAGAATTCAGTTGTGATGCTATCTGGTTCTGGGCTTTTCCTTGTTGGAAGATTTTTCATTACTACTTCAATCTCATTATGTGTTATTGGTCTGTTTAAGCTTTCTATTTCTTCCTGATTCAAACTTAGCAGGTTATATTTTTCTAGGAGTTTGTCCATTTCCTATATGTTATCCAATTTGTTGGTATTAATATATAATTGTTCTTAATAGTCCCTTGTGATTTCTTTAATTTCTGAGGCATCTGTTGTAATTTCTGCAGTTTCATTTTTATTTTGTTTCCTCTTTTTTTTTTTTTAGTCTAGCTAGATATTTGTTTGTTTTTTCAAAGAACCAAGTCTTGGTTTTATTGATCATTTTCTATATGTTTTTGGTTGTTGTTCTCTATTTGACTTATTTCTCTTCTGATCTTTATTGTTTCCTTTCTTCTGCTAACTTTGCATTTAGTTTGTTCTTTTGCTAGCTCCTGTAGGTATAATGTTAGGCTGTCTATTTAGCGTGTTCTTTTTTAATGTAGACCTTATTGCTTAAAATTTCCTTTTGAGTTCGAGACCAGCCTGACCTACACAGGGAGACTACGTCTCTACTAAAAACACAAAATTAGCCAGGTGTGGTGGCACATGCCTGTAATCCTAGCTACTCAGGAGGCTGAGGCAGGAGACTCGCTTGAACCCGGAAGGCATAGGTAGCAGTGAGCTGAGATCGTGCCATTGCACTCCAGCCTAGGCAACAAGAGTGAAAGTCTGTCTCAAAAACAAACAAAATTCCTCTTAGAACCACTGTTGCTGCATCTCATAGGTTTTGGTGTGTTGTCTTTCCATTGTTTCTTGTCTTAAGATTTTTAAAATTTCCCTTTTGGTTTCTTTGACCCGTTGATTGTTTGGGAGCATGTTGTTTAGTTTCCACGTACTTGTGATTTTTTTCAAAATTTTTCCTGTTACTGATTTCTAGTTTCTTATTGTTGTGGTCAGAAATGATACTACATATGATTTCAATCGTCTTGAATTTAGATTAATTAAAAATAGTTAAGTCTAGTTTTGTGGTTTAATGTATGATCTGTCCTGTAGAATGTTTCATATGCACTAGAGAAGCATATACATTCTGCTGCTATTCAATGCAAAGTTCTATATTTGTCTGTTAGATCCATTTGACTCAAAGTACAATTCAAGTCCAGTATTTCTTTGTTAACTTTCGGTCTGGTTAATCTATCATTATTGAAAGTGGGATATTGAAGACTCCTACTATTATTGTGTTGCTATCTATCACTCTCTTCATGTCCTTTAATAATGTTTTATATATTTTGATGCTTCAGTGTTGGGTGCTTATATATTTATAATTCTTATGTGCTCTTGATGAATTGACCCCTTCGTCATTAAATTATGACCTTCTTTGCCTCTTGTAACAGTTTTTGACTTGAAGTCTATTTTAACTGATGTAAGAATAGCCACCCTGCTCTCTTTTGGTTACTATTTACACAGAATATTTTCTTCTACCCCTTAACTTTCAGCCTGTGTCCTTATAACTAAGATGGATCTCTGATAGGCAGCATATGTTTGGATCTTTTTTTTTTTTTCTATCAATTTAGATACTGTATGTTGTGATTGGAGAATTTAATTCATTTGCCTTCAGGGTTATTATTGATAGATAAGGGCTTACTCCTGCAGTTTTAATTGTTTTCTGATTGCTTGGTAGATCAGTTGTTCCTTTCTTTCTCTTGTTATGTACGTTTGTGATTTGTTGTTTTTCTGTAGTGCTAAGCTTTGATTCCTTTCTCTTTCTCATTTGTATCTCCTATAGCTTTTTGCTTTGCAGTTACCATGAGGCTTACATAAAATATCTTATAGTTATAATAGACTATTTTAAGCTGATAACAACTGAACTTCAATCACATACAAATACTCTAGATTTTTGCCCTCCCCCCACAATTTATGTTTGTTGACATAATTTACATCTTTTTATATTCAGTATTCCTTAACAACTCATTGTAGCTACATTTTTGACCATTTTGACTTTTCACCTTCATACTGGAGAGTTGAAAGACTTACAGATCACCATTACAGTGGTGGCACATTCTGAATTTGACTATGCGTTTACATCTACCTGTGTGTTTTATGCTTTCAATATGTTTTCATGATACTAATTATCATTCTTTTGTATGTGGTAGAAGAATAGCTTTAATCATTTCTTATAAGGCAGGTCTAGTGGTGAATTTCCTCAGTTTTTATTTATCTGGCAGAGACTTTATTTCTCTTCATTTCTGATGAACAGCTTTGCTTTGTACAGTATTGTATTGTTTACTGGCAATATTGTCTTCTTTCAGGGCTTTGACTATATCATCTTGTGCTCTCCTGGCCTGCAAGGTTTCTGCTGAGAAATCCACTGATAGTCTAATGGAGATTCCCCTATAAATTACTTGATATTTTTCTCTTGATACTTTTAAAATTCTCTCTTTGTCTTTGACTTTTGAGATTTTTATTATAACGTGCCTCAGTGAGGACCTTTTTGGGTTTGAACATGTTTGGTGATTTTGAGATTCATGGAACTGGATGTCCATATCTCTCCCAAGACTTGGGAATTTTTCAGCAATTATTTTGTTAAATAAGCTTTCTATGCATTTTCCTCATTCTTCTCCTTCTGGAACCTCCATAATATGAATACTTGTTTGCTTAATGGTGTCCCATAAGTCCTGTAGGCTTTCTTCACTCTTTTTTGTTCTTTTTTCTTTTTTTTCCCCTCTGACTAGGCTATTTCAGAAACCTAACTTCATTTCACAGATTCTTTCTTTTGCTTGTTTTGGTTTGCTATTGAAGCTCTCTATTTTTGATTTCATTCATTTAATTCTTTAGCTCCAAGATTTCTATTTGGTACTTTTTGAATGACTTTCTTATGCAGATAATGAATTGTCTTCCTGATTTCATTGAACTGTTTATCTGTATTCTTTTGTATCTCAGTGAGTTTCCTTAGGATTATTACTTTGAACTCCTTTTCAGGCAATGTGCAAATTTCTGTTTTTTGGAATCGGTTACTGGAGAATTATTGTGTGTGTTTGGTGCTGTTGTGTTTTCTGGTTTTTTTTTTTTTTTTCATGTTTCTTGTGTCCCTGTATTGATATCTACACAACTAGTGGAATAATCCCCTGTTTCAAATTTGTAGAGAGGTACTTTCCTTTGGTCACTCTGGTCAAAATGTAATCAGTTGTTTATTCATTGTTTTGCTCTTTTTTGTGGGGAGGATGAGCATTAGGCATCTCTAGTTGACCATCTTGCTTCCTCCTGACCTAGTTTTGTTTTTGTTTTTGTTTTTGAGATGGAGTCTCTCTCTGTCACCCAGGCTGGAGTGCAGTGGCACAATCCTGGCTCACTGCAAACTCTGACTCCTGGGTTCACGCCTTTCTCCTACCTCAGCTGCCCCAGTAGCTGGGACTAACAGGCACCTGCCACCATGCCCAGCTAATTTTTTGTATTTTCAATAGAGATGGGGTTTCACCGTGCTAGCCAGGATAGTCTCTATCTCCTGACCTCATGATCTGCCTGCCTCGGCCTCCCAAAATGTTGGGATTACAGGCCTGAGCCACTGCGCCTGGCCAACCTAGTTTTTTTAAATGCCATGTCTATGTCTCAGAGCACTGGAAACACCTATTGTTTATTTCTATTTTTTTGTTGTTGTTGTTGTTTTTGTTTTTTGTTTTTTGTTTGGCTTACTTACTAGTGATATAGTAGTTTTAGGAATTGTTACTTCTTATAATTTTTTTAAGGCAAATCATGAGAGTAGACTTATATTCTGACTTGTTAATCACCAATTATGTTTTTTTCTTAGGGGAAGTGAGTTTTCCAAAACTTGGTTTAAAAGTGAGCTTTAATATTACAGCTCATAAGTTTAGGGACTTTTGAATATGTAAGTTGGATATTTTCTGCTTCTTAAAATAGTTTTCAGATAATGATATTGTGAAAATTTTTTGATATCTCTAAGTTTTAAAATAATTAATAAACTGTTTCAGAGTCCTCTAATGTTACTGGGAGTAACTAAATAATTTTATGGTATTTTTAAATAGGTTACAGAAGTATGCATATTCCGTAAGAGATTCAAAACTGAGAGGTAGGTTTAGAGATAATTTTTGAATAGCATTTTCACATATAGATGAGAGGTGCCAATTATTGATAAAATACTAATAGTAGCAGCTGATATATTTATATTACAGATATCTTAAAAGATGGTGCCGCTTATCATCATGCTGGTATGGAGCTGTCAGATAGAAAAGTAGTTGAGGGAGCTTTTACTGTTGGAGATTTACCAGTTCTTTGTAAGTAAAACATATTTCTTGTGGATTCTATAAAATATTTTGGAAAATTATTTTTAAGAGGAAAAAAGGAAAAGCTCAAGTATTCTGCTTCTTTCTTCTTCTGAGAATCTAGAATTAAGTGGTTACCTATGCATGTAGATGCTACAGTAAATTCTTTGGCAATATTTAGTTCTTTGTCATATTATTGAACATAGTGTAATTTGAAAAACAAGAATTTAATAGGTTTTTGGATTTAAGGTGTGTTACTATTTTAGATTGTAATGTTCTTTTTTCTTTTCTAAATTTCTTATATATGAGATTTTATTACATTTATAGGAATGTCTTTTATTAAAAAGTCTTCATGAAGCAATAAAGTTAAATGGCTCAAAATTACTATGTCTTCATCTGATGCAGTTACTACCAGTACTTTAGCTATGGGAGTAAATTTGCCTGCTCACCTAGTAGTTATAAAATCTACAATGCATTATGCTGGAGGACTGTTTGAAGAGTACAGTGAAACAGATATTCTACAGATGATTGGTAGAGCTGGTCGACCTCAAGTAAGTGACAATAACTTTGCTTTTTATACTTAAAAACATGGTAAAAACAAAAAATTGTGTATTTTTTGATTAGCATGTCATAATTATATCAGGCTTAAAAGTAATATAGCAGAGAAAATTTACCTTTAATGGAGGAATAAAAGTAAAACAAGCCTCACCAACTGGGACATACTTCCTTCATTCTGTCTAAGCTTGCACTGGCTGATGAAGGGATGGGTTTATGAATGGATATACTCTTAAAGGTCTTTTGGTTTTGTTTTGTTTTTTTATTCTGAATGGGGGTACTCAGCATTTTGGATGGAACAGGTTTTCCTTGTTTAAGCCTGTCACATTACAGAACATGTAACATCCCTAGGTCCTAGCACTAAATGCTAATAGTGTTCCCAGGCATTATGACAAAGTCAGCCTAAATACATTTCAAAACATATCCTACTCTGACAAATACATGACTAAGTCATTTTTATAGCTATTATGGGAGCATCAGGAAGAGTATATTTTCAAAACATTTGTAAATATTATGTTATACAATTCTATAATTTCATGGAATAAATCAGATTATATATAAACTATACCAAATCTTACAACTTTTATGCAGTTACCAGAGTTTGTTTTGATTTTAACATTGCCAAAATTATGTTACATTGAAACCAAAGTGATATTTACAGCTATACTCTTGGAAGGTTTTTAAATTAAATTTTAGGTTAACAAAGTGAGAGCATTTTAAAGGTCTTTTTGAAGTGTTATTTCAGACAAGGAGACTGTTTAATATAAAATGAAAGTCTTGAGTTTTTGCAGAAGACTGGTACCAAGATGTGCTCTTCTTCACTAAATTTCTGTTTTTTTCCCCAGTTTGACACTACAGCTACTGCAGTTATCATGACTCGATTAAGCACAAGAGACAAGTACATTCAGATGTTAGCTTGTAGAGACACTGTAGAAAGCAGGTAATACAAAAAATGTTCCAAAATGATAGTAATGCTGATATAGCTTATTTTATTTCCTTTTAAAATATCAAAAGGAAATTTGGTTTGGAGATTTTTTTAAGGCCATTTTCTGTAAAGTTTTCAACAATTTAACTGGATAGTTTGTGTCATTTTAGAGAATTTAATAATTTTTTTAAAATGTAGTCATTTTATTCAGTGGTACTTCTTGACAAGCATGTATTCTTGTTTATAACAAACCCTAATTTGTAATAAAGCCTTAGTAATTATGATTATAATTTATATATGAAATTATATAAATTTATAATTACTAATTTGTAATAAAGGAGAAATATTTTCACATCTTAATTTAATAGTAGAGGAAATCTGGGACTTATTAGTAAGGTATTTAATGTATTCTCTTTTGGAGAAAGTAAGATATAATTTACGCTTCAGCTTTTGTTAAAGCAGTAATCCGTGTTCTATAACCATAAAGTAGAGAGATATATCTGAAGCCTTTTTAGAAGTTGAACTGACTTCTTAAGGTTTTCTTTTATGTTTTTGGAAATTAAGTTATAGTTCATGAATTAGTAAAGTAGCAATTGGTGTATTATAAATTATTAAAGTTAAAAAGTAAGAGTTATGGCATTGAACTGCATATTCATAATGCAAAGTTTTTTCTTTTCATCAGTTTGCACAGACATCTTATTGAGCATTTAAATGCAGAGATAGTACTGCATACCATCACGGATGTGAATATTGCTTTGGAATGGATACGATCAACTTTGCTTTATATCAGAGCCTTGAAAAATCCATCTCATTATGGTTTGTTACTTTGACTTGGAAAAGTAGTAATTTTTTCAAGCCAGCTAGGCCTGTATTTATACTGATAAGTTACAGGATAGATAGATTACAGAAACTAATAGATAATAAAACAAAAGATAAAAACAGTCCCAAATACATTTAGAGACAAGAGTAGACAAACTGAGAAATTTTAATCTGTTTTACTTCTGGTGTTTCAACAAGGTTTGAAATCCGCACCATTAAAAATAGACCTAGTGGAAAAAAATTCAGCTCCAGTAAAAATAACAGAAATGTCTAAATCATTGAAAATAAGTTAAAGTTACAGAATGTTTTGAATTTTGTCTGTGCTTAGTGTTCAGCTACTCCCTTTTTTGAGTTTATGACTGTTTATTTTTCAATTTATAAGAAATGAAAGTATATAGTACTACTGTTGCTGCTACAATTTTCATCTTGCTTCTATAGCTAACCCACATCTTGTTATGTGGCTTCCAGAGGGTTTTTTAATGTGGTATAGGTTATGAAATAACCTATACTTGGGGTTGTTGAATACCAAATTAAAGCCTGACTCGTTGAAGTATCATTCTAATGCACAGAGGTTCAAAACTTTCAGATCTCAAAGAGTAATTAATATAAGTCTATATTAAAGGAATATATAAATATTCATATCACTTAAAAATGTCTGTTTCAACTAGGTAATACATTTACTTAGTTCAAAAATCATAAAGTGAAGGAATATATACAACTAAAATTCTTCCATGTATATCCCTACCCACACAGTTGTTCAATTCCCATCTCTCCCCTTTCCATCCCCTAGTTCTGTAATCATTAGTATATCTTTTTTGAATAATATTTTTTGCATATAAAAGTAAATAAGAAAATGTAATTTTATTTTCCCACCATTTAAACACAAATGGTGGCATAATGTATTAGTTTTCCATTCCTTTTAACAAATTATCCTAAAACAAATAATCTAGAAACAACCAGAATTTATTATCTCACACAGCTTATGTGGGTTAGGAATCTGGGACTGTCTTAGCTAGGTGGCTCTGGGTCAGAGGCTCTTCTTAGATTGCAAGATATGTCAGCTAGGGCTGCAGTCATCTGAAGGCTTTCCTGGGTCTTGAAGATTCACTTCTAAGTAGTCTCACTCACAAAGCTATAAGTTAGAGGCCTCAGTTTCTCACAGTTGTTGGCAGGCCTCACTCTTTTGCCAGGTGGATCTTTCCTTATAGCATGGCAGTGATTTTTCTCAGGATGAATGATCGACAGAGAAAGAGAGACAGAGACAGACTAAATCAGAAGCAGCAGTACTTTTTTATAACTTTGTCTCTGAAGTCACACATCATTACTTCTACTTTATTCTGTTTTTTAGAAGCAAGTCACTGAGTCCTGGTCACACGAAGGCGAGAGGGATTAAGTTTATCTCTCAGAGGGCAGAATATCAAAGAATTTGTGGGCATTTTTTTTTTTTTTTTGAGACAGCCTCTCTTGGTTGCCCAGGCTGGAATGCAGTGGCACAATCTTGGCTCACTGCAACCTCCACCTCACAGGTTCAAGCAATTCTCCACCTTACCCTTCTGAGTAGCTGGGACTACAGGCACACACCACCATGCCTGGCTAATTTTTTGTGTTTTTAGCAGAGATGGCGGTTCGCCATTTTGACCAGGCTGGTCTCGAACTCCTGATCTCAAGTGATCCACCTGCCTTGGCCTCCCAACGTGCTGGGATTACAGACATGAGCCACTGTGCCTGTCCTTGTGGTCACATTTTTTTTAAACCTCCATTATTGTAGTCTTCTGCACATTCCTTTTTTTCTTAGTATGTCTTGGAAGCTTTTTTGAGACAGGCTGTCGCTCTGTTGCCCAGGCTGAAATCCAGTGGTGTGATCACAGTTTACTTCAGCTTCAACCTTCTGGGCTCAAGTGATCTTCTTACCTCACCCTCCTGAGTAGCTGGTACTACAGGCATATATCAGTACACCTGGCTCACTTTTGGGGAAAAAAAAAAAGTTGTAGAGGCAGAGCCTCCCTATGCTGCCCAGGCTGGTCTCGAACTTGTGGGCTCAAGCGATCCTCCCACTTCACCCTCCCAAAGTGCTGGGATTTTGACCGTGAGCCACCATGTCTGGCTGGAAGCTTTTTTTAATAGCTAAATAATATTCCATTTACTTATGTATCACCTATTTAAACGATCCCCAATTGATGGACATTTATACTTTTTCTAATTGTTTGCTATTACAAACAATGCAGCCAAAAAATCCCTTCATTTTTTACATGCATGAATTTATCTGTATGATAAATCTCTAGGAATGAAATTCCCAGCAAACTATTGCAAGACCAGAAAACCAAACACCGCATGTTCTCACTCAGAGGTGGGAATTGAACAATGAGATCACTTGGGCACAGGAAGGGGAACATTACACACCAGGGCCTATTGTGGGGAGGGGACAGAGGGAAGGGATAGCATTAGGAGATACACCTAATGTAAATGACGAGTTAATGGGTACAACACACCAACATGGCACATGTATACATATGTAACAAACCTGCACATTGTGCACATGTACCCTAGAACTTAAAGTATAATTTAAAAAAATTAAAAAAAAAAAAGAAATGAAATTCCTGTGTCAAAGATATATGCATTTATAAATTTGATACCTGTGGCTGAATTGCTACCTTAGTAGCTCATATACCTTTCAGCAGTGTTCAAAAGTGCCATATTTTGTTTCTCCAGCCTTTCCTTTGGGTGTATACTTGTGTATTTTTATCAATATTGTATATGAATATTGATATCTTTTCATGTTTTAATTTTCATTTCTGCCTTTTCATAGTTACTTTATTTTCTGTAGTTACTTTTTTGTATTGAGATATCACTTACAGTAAACTGCACAAATATGAGGTGTATAGGTCAATGAAGTTTTATATATATGTTTATACACACATATACACACATGTAACCACAGCCCAGATTAAGATATAGAACATTATCTAGATGTTCCCTCATGCTCCTTTTCTGTCAGTATTTGCCCCCAGAAGTCAATGCTATTCTGACTTACATACCACAGGCTAGCTTTATCTATTCTTGAAAAGATTCCATTTATATGAATATAAATCTTTTGATGAAAGGAAATTATTAATTTTAAATAATGTTGCTGTGAACATTGTTATATATATCTTTTGATACACATGTATGTGTATATCTGTGGGTATGTGCCTAGGAGTGAAATTATTGTGTTAAATGGTATGTGTAGTTACAACTTTAGTGAATAGCACAAAATGGTTGTATTACCAAATATGTTTTCCTAGGAACATTCATGTTATAATGAAAGTTCAATAGAATATATTAATCACTTGATGATATTTACTATGTGTAAAACATTTGGAAATTTATTCCATACCATTCTTGTTAAAATATGATATTCCTGTTCATTGTTTCTATGGATATTTATTTAAGTCTTGTTTGAATTCAATAAGCTGAGAGTTTTTTTTTCTTATATAAGACTCAATTAGACTACTCTTCACTAGTTAACTGGGGTATAAACTGAGCCTGTAAAGATGAATTAAATTCTGTTTTACTTTTTGGAAATTTTCATGACATGCAGGTTTTGCATCTGGATTGAACAAAGATGGAATTGAAGCAAAATTACAAGGTTAGGTGCATTTCATTCCAAAAATTAGATTCTACATATTTTAGTGAAAAAGTTCAGTTATTATGAAAGTAAGAATATGCTTTTGTAAATCATTTTTTAAAAAGGAAACGTATCTGTAGAAAAATAATGTGAACTATTTCTTTTTCACACAAAAAGCTTGGCATATACACTTTTTGCTGAATTAATCAATTTATTCTATCAGAATATCTTTCTTTGTATAATATGTTAACTTGGTTTATTTGGTTTTTATTTCTAACATCCCTGGTCTTTGAAAATATGCTTACAGATACACACTCTGTATTTTTTCTTTTTTTTAAAAGAGACAATCTTACTGCCACCCAGGATGGAATGCAGTGGCGTGATCATAGCTCATTGTAACCTTGAACTCCTGAGCTCAAATGATCCTCCTGCTGAAGCCTCCTGAGTAGCTGGGACTATAGGCGTGAGCCACCACAACTGGTTAATTTTGTAGCTTTTTTTAGAAAGGGGGTCTCACTGTGTTTTCCAGCCTGGTCTCAAACTCCTGGCCTCAAGTGATCCTCCCACCTCTGCCTCCCAAAGCACTAAGATTATAGGTGTGAGCAATCATGCCCAATATGTATTTTTTCTTTTCTACTTAATTTTAATTGAAAAATATAAGCCTAGAGTGATTATGGGCTTTGTATCCCAACCTGTGCCAAAGATGTATTCCTATCCAACCTCAGCTTGTTATTTAATCAACTAGTATTTCTTACTTGTTTTTTAGAATATAAAATATTGTTAGGCATTTATTCAGATTAGAAATTGCTACCTTTTTATTGTGTTGAGACTGTCCCTTTAGTAAAAGAAAAAAATGTTAGATCCTCTAAAAAGATTTAGCCAATTTAAATTTATTCTCTACTTGTATTACATGTGTGGCAAATAAAAATGCGGAGATAAAGCAGTAAAATTGTCTTGCTTAAAGAATAAATATGTTGTTAAAACATGATCATAACCAATAGCATATATTCATAATGCTGCTGTATTCATGTTGAAATACAGATTATAAGTTGTATTATCTTCAAGGTATTGATTAATTTTGTAATGGAATTTTAAAAATTAAACATATATTTTGAAAATAATGATCAAATACACTCAAGAAATTAAATAGTCCAAGAGATATATTGCTATATTCAGATAACTTTAATGTTTTAGCTTTTGTTAAATTAGCAGAATCACAGCTCATATTTGCCTTATCTTTGGTCACTATAGCGTTAGCAAAATTTTGCCTTATAAACAGCAGTAGCTAGATATAACTGAATATTAGATATATTAGATATAACAGCAGTAGCTAGATATAACTGAATATTGGTATTGTAGGAGAGAAAAAAGGTAACATCTTTTCCTCATTCATTGCAAAGTTCACAGCTGACACTCCTGTAACAAGGCAGATTAACAAGAGAAAAGCATAACAAATTTATTTAATCAAAGTTGTATATGACATGGGAGCCTTCAGAAATTAAGACCCAAAGACCCAGGGAAAACTGTGTTTCTATGGCAAGTCTAATGAAAAAAAATGAATAGTTGTCGAGAAACATGACTGGACAAAAGGGTGTTATCTAATATTAATAAACTGGGCAAAACTTAACAAGGCCTATTTGTTCAGATTCTTCTTGGCCTCTCTGTGTAGCATTCTTTCTTCCTGGGCGTGAGACAGGACCATTCCATACCGTGGAATGAGGGTCTTAAAATTTACACAAAGTAGGTCAGAGAATTCCTTTATGACCACGTTTCACACAGAAAGGCAGGGAAAGGTCAGAGTGACCTTCTTGTTTCTGAGGTCCTCTCAGTCTTACTGAGTTTGAAATGCTTTGGGTCAGCATTTTCTGAGCCCTGCCATTATCCTTGGAGATCTGCCTTAAATCTCTCAAGAAGGATCGTTAGCATAGTGTATGCTATTTCCTAAACTTGATTATACTTTCTTGCCCAGTATACTCTAATAGCTTCCCCATGACTCTTAGAATAAAATACAAACTTTCACCACAGCCCACAAAATCCTGCTTGATATCTCCCTGGCTATTACTCTAACTACATCTCTTGTCACTTTCTGTCTCTCTTATTCTACTCTCACCAAATTGTCCTTCTTGCTATTCCTTAAATACACCAAGCTTGTTCTGACATCAGGTCCTTTGCACACTTTGTTCCCTATTTTTGGAACTCTCCTTGCATACTTCACATGGTGCGCACCTTCATTTTATTCAGGTCTGTCTTCAAATACTAACTTTTTAGAGAGGTCTTCCTGTGGTATCTTACTTAAATCCACCTTTACTGAGAGGAAGAGAAAATGATTCTATGATGTTGTTATCACTGTTTTCCTTGTTTTTAGAAAAAGTAATGTGTTTGACAATTAGGGTGAGGATAGCTTTCCTCTATATGAAAATATATAGCAGTTATGAGAAATACATATAGGTTGGGTGTGGTGGTTCATGCCTGTAATCCCTTTGGGAGGCCAAAGTGGGCAGATCGCTTGAGCTCAGGAGTTTGAGACCAGCCTGGACAACATAGGGAGATCCCACCTTTACAAAAAGTGTTTTTTAAAAACTTAGCTGGTGCAGTGGTACATGCTGTAGTTCCAGCTACTGGGGAGACTGAGGTGGGAAGATTGTTTGGGTCTGGGAGGTTGAGGCTGCAGTGAGCTGTGATCATGCCACTGTATTTTAGCCTGCGCAACAGAGTAAGACCCTGCCTCAAAAAAAAAAAAAAAAAAAAAAAAAAGAAAGAAAAGAAAGGAAGAAAAAAAGAAAAGGAAATAAACATAAGCTTTAGTTAAAAGATTTAAAATTCTACACAATCATTCTATACAGGTTCTTAGCCTTATGTTTCTTTATAGTATATGTGAAACCGTATTATTTATTTGTATGTTGATTGCTTTCTTCTGTAAAATATAAGTTCTAAAAATAAAAACCTTGTCTTGTTAACTGCTGTAAACATAGAGCTTAGAATTATGCTCAGCTTATGGTAAAGTAAGCATTTTTCATTGACTTACCGAGTAATGGGTAATGAACGGATTTAATAGTGGGTAATTAAGAAAATTAGACTTCAAAATCTTTACTTCACCAAACACTTAACACTATCAAGCTGTCTAAACAGTGCTGCTTAAACTAAAATATTTCCCGAAGAACTCTAAGGGTGTTTTTTTGAGTGGCTGCTCTGTTTAGGATTGAACTATTACAGTATTCCCACTGTCTGCTCTGAACTATCTTATGTCTCGTGGAGTATGGCATGAGGCAGAGAAGGAACTGTAAGCAGTAGATCACTACAATTGCTCTGATCCCCATCAATAGTGAACATGAACTAGCATTGCTTCCTGTCAGAGAAACAAAAGTAAACACCTGAAAGCATCAGTTAAAGTTGTTGCTTCAAGAAAGTGGCAAAGAGGGAGGAGGGGAGGAACTGGTGGTTTTTGGAATAATCTTTGCAGAACTATTTGACTTCTTATACTTTGCGCATATATTAATATATCTTTGATAGAAATTTAAAGAAAAAAGAAAAAACCATTGCCTTAATGGAGGGCAGATAGCAAAGGAGCAAGTTACTTAGCCTCTATTCTTTCGTTTCCTAACCTATATATGAAAATATCAGTGTCTACCTTATTGTGATGTTTTGAGGATTAAATGAGATAATACATGTATATCATTTAAATACTCCAAGTTTTAAGTGTTATTTCTATTTACTGAGTGTTATTTTTATTACTTGTATTCTTGTTACTATTAGAAAATGTTTTTAGTATATTAGTTAGCTTTTTTATTTAAATGAGCTTTTCCTTACTGCTTAAGTAGGGACTGTGGTTCTTCTAGAACAATTACAGTAATAACACAACTTTAGCATATTTAATAATAAATTATTTTGCCCTACTTCCCTATTTTACTAAAATTAAAATGTGTTTTCTATAATTAAACAGAATTATGTTTGAAGAATCTGAATGATTTATCATCCCTGGACTTAATAAAGATGGATGAAGCTGTTAATTTCAAACCAACTGGTAATTTCCTATCATTGTCAGTAAATTTAGCAATTGTTTACTTAAGACTAAATTAAAATTTTGTTTTACTAAAATTTAGACGATGATAAAACTAAATCGTGGTCTCAGTTCTCAATAGGGTATCATCATTATTACCCGTAGGCATGATAAATTTAAACAAGCCCTATTTGTAAAAGTATAGTTTCTTTTTGACAGGTGCACAGAATTTGTCTTCACTGACTCTGGTGACTTCTGGCAGAGGAACGAAATGCTTGAACCTTTGGGTTGCTTAAACCTGCTATAACTATTATAGATATACTTTTATTGGCATGCTTTTGTATGCTTTTTATATTCTTAAATATTCAACCGTTGATAATCTGGTGGTTAGACTTCTGTAAGGTTAGAAAAAATATCTTTTCCTTCTACTCATCTTAGGTTCATTAATTGGGACTCCTATAACTAAAGGTATTAGCAAGAGAAAAGCATACAAATTTATTTAATATGTTTTATGTGACATGGGAGCCTTTCTAAGAAAATGAAGACCCAAAGAAATGGTTAAACTTGAATGTTTTTATGCCAGGTGTGATGAAGATGGAAAGGTCATGGAGAAATATGATAGGACAAAGGAGATATGAACTAAGTGTAATAAATTGGGGGAAATTTAGCAAAGCCTGTTTATTCAGATTCCTCTGTGTCTATGGAGATAAAGATGCTCCATTGTTTAGGTATAGGGAGGGCACCTCTCACATGAGGTGTTATGACTTGCTTCAGAGGAAGACCAGAAAAATTATTCCTGTACATGTTGTTTCTCAGATTCCTGCAGCTTAAAATATTCAGTAGGCCAAGATGCCACATTTCGAGATAGCATGTCCTGAACTCACTCACTCTCTCTCTCTCTAAATTCTGTTTAGAGTATAATAGAAGAGAGAAAGGATGTTTTGTGGTTTTTAGCACTCGTGATTAGAAGTTTTTGGAGAAAATGACTTTATTATTTCAGTTAATCTTTTTAAGTAAAAGTTATTTATTGTTTGAAAGTTGGGTAATGTGGAAAATTTTTTTTTGAATTCAGAATCTATCTGTTAACATTTAGCATGTACTGTTCATTTTTAATGCGTTTTTTTACTTACTTGCAACCATACTATAGAAATACATGATTTTGTAAAATGTTAAAATTTATATTTAATATAAGGCTTAGTTTTAAAATAATTTGTTGCCCTGACTCTCAGCCCTACATTAATAACATTTTTTTTCCTTCTTCTTTGGTCCTTATTCTGATAAGCCTAATTCTGTTTGTGAGAATTGTCTTCTGTGTGTTCCAGAGCATCTCACTAGAGGGGGCATAAGAATCACTAAGGCGTCTTCTTCATCTGTTTTTATATACTTTCATTCTTATCAGGAATCTTATTCCCACTATCACTTCTTTCTTATGGTACTTCTTGAATGCACTGATACTATTCTTTTTGTCTTTAAACATACCTAATAAATGACCTATAATAACATTTATTCTTTGTCAGTCATCAGTGAATAGTACTTAGTTATTTTTTTATTCTTAACACTCCACTTTTCTGGTTCTCCTTCTTCTTTAATCAGTCGTACTTTGCTGACCTTTTATGCTTACTATGTACTTCTTAAAGTTTCAGGCCTTGAATCTTTATTCCTGGATTATGCTAGTTTTTTGAAAACATAATTCACCTTCACTGCTACATCTGTAGTCATTATGTAAATGAATTCAAAGTTTTAGTTTTGATTATGACCTCTCACCTTTGCTATAAAATTTGATCTTCAGTTTTCTATGATACATGTTTACTTACATATATTACATGAAGCTTGACATCCAGAGGCATATGAGTTAATTTAACCTGGAATACTGTGAAGCAGAGTGAACATAGAATTTGGGTTCCAAATATCTGTATTTCAGTCCCAGTTCTACTACTTGTTGTCTGTTGCCTTATATTAGCTGTCTTAGTTTACTATTGGCTTATATTAGCTGTCTTAGTTTATTCATCTGAAAACAGGAATGTATTACATATCCTACTTACTGTATTGGGTGTAGTGTTGATCAAATGCAATAATGAATGTAAAAACATTTTACTGTAACAGAAGTTGTTGCTGTCTCTTTTCCAAAGCTAGGAAAATCAATGTTTGCCTATTCTCATTAGCTTTTTTGCCACACCTAAGATCATCGTAAAATATTGATGCCTTTGGTTTCTTTCATTCCTCCGTCATTCAATATCCAGGCATTTTCCATACTCATTCCATATCCTTTTGGTGTCTGATGTCACCAAACATCAAAAAGACAATCCAATTTGAGCTGAAAATATTCCTTATCATCTACTAGGGTAAAATTTCTTAAGGTGTATTGGGGATGGACTACTTGCTGTCAAAATCAACTGAAGATGCTGTTGTGTTAAAAATACAGTTACTTAATTCTGCTTCAGACTTGCAAACTTCAATTTTTAGGAGTAAAACTTAGGAATTTAAATTTTATCTCTTTGGGTTTAAATCCTCTCTCAGATAAATACCTAGTTCTTTGATACTTTGTAAGATACTTGCATTTCAGCTAGCTATTGTAGTTGACCTTACCAGGTGGGTAGGTTTGTAATTTCCTTTTTTTTTTTTTTTTTTTTTGCAACTTTTGTCTTTGGTTCAGGGGATACATGTGCAGCTTTGTTATGTGGGTAAATTGTATGTCATGGGGAGTACAGATTGTTTCATCACCTGGGTAATGAGCATAGTACTCAACATTAGGTTTTTCAATCCTTACCCTCCTCTCACCCTCCACCCTCAAGTAAGCCCTGATGTTTATTGTAGCCATCTTTGTGTCCATGTATACTCAATGTTAGCTCCCACTTTTAAGTGAAAACATGTAGTATTTCGTTTTCTATTCCTGCATAAATTTGCTTAGGATGATAGTCACCAGCTCCATCCATGTTGCTGCAAAGGATATGATTTCATTTTTAAAAAAATTTTTTATTATACTTTTAAGTTCTAGGGTACATGTGCACAACGTGCAGGTTTGTTACATATGTATACATGTGCCATGTTGGTGTGCTGCACCCATTAACTTCTCATTTACATTAGGTATATCTCCTAATGCTATCGCTGCCCCTTCCCCCCACTCCACGACAGGCCCCAGGGTGTGATGTTCCCCTTCCTGTGTCCATGTGTTCTCATTGTTCAATTCCCACCTATGAGTGAGAACATACGGTGTTTGGTTTTCTGTTCTTGTGATAGTTTGCTGAGAATGATGGTTTCCAGCTGCATCCACGTCCCTGCAAAGAACCCGAACTCATCCCTTTTTATAGCTGCATAGTATTCCATGGTGTATATGTGCCACATTTTCTTAATCCAGTCTATCATTGATGGACATCTGGGTTGGTTCCAAGGCTTCGCTATTGTGAATAGTGCTGTTGTGAATAGTGCTGCAGTAAACATACATGTGCATGTGTCTTTATAGCCGCATGATTTATAATCCTTTGGGTATATACCCAGTAATGGGGTGGCTGGGTCAAATGGTATTATTTCTAGTTCTAGATCCTTGAGGAATCACCACACTGTCTTCCACAATGGTTGAACTAGTTTACACTCCCAACGACAGTGTAAAAGTGTTCCTATTTCTTCACATCCTCTCAAGCACCTGTTGTTTCCTGACGTTTTAATGATCGCCATTCTAACTGATGTGAGATGCTATCTCACTGTGGTTTTGATTTGCATTTCTCTGATGGCGAGTGATGATGAGCATTTTTTCATGTGTCTGTTGGCTGCACGAATGTCTTCTTTTGAGAAGTGTCTGTTCATTTCCTTTGCCCATTTTTTGATGTTTTTTTTTTTTTTTCTTGTAAATTTGAGTTCTTTGTACGTTCTGGATATGAGCGCTTTGTCAGATGGCAGATTGCAAAAGTTTTCTCCTGTTCTGTAGTTTGCCTGTTCACTCTGATGGTAGTTTCTTTTGCTGTGCAAAAGCTCTTTAGTTTAATTAGATCCCATTTGCCAATTTTGGTTTTTTTTGCCATTGCTTTTGGTGTTTTAGTCATGAAGTCCTTGCCCACGCCTATGTCCTGAATGGTACTGCCGAAGTTTTCTTCTAGAGTTTTTATGGTTTTAAGTCTAACATTTAAGTCTCTAATCCATCTTGAATTAATTTTAGTATAAGGTGTAAGGAAGGGATCCAGTTTTAGCTTTCTACATATGGCTAGCCAGTTTTCCCAGTACCATTTATTAAATAGGGAATCCATTCCCCATTTCTTGTTTTTGTCAGGTTTGTCAAAGATCAGATGGTTGTAGATGTGTGGTATTATTTCTGAGGGTTCTGTTTTGTTCCATTGGTCTATATCTCTATTTTGGTACCAGTACCATGCTGTTTTGGTTACTGTAGCCTTGTGGTATAGTTTGAAGTCAGGTAGCGTGATGCCTCCAGCTTTGTTCTTTTTGCACTGGATAGCCTTGGCAATGCGGGGTCTTTTTTGGTTCCATATGAACTTTAAAGTGGTTTTTTCCAAATCTGTGAAGAAAGTCATTGGTAGCTTAATGGGGATGGCATTGAATCTATAAATTACCTTGGGCAGTATGGCCATTTTCATGATATTGATTCTTCTTATCCATGAGCATGGAATGTTCTTCCATTTGTTTGTGTCCTCTTTTATTTCACTGAGCAGTGGTTTGTAGTTCTCCTTGAAGAGGTCCTTCACATCCCTTGTAAGTTGGATTCCCAGGTATTTTATTCTTTTTGAAGCAATTTAGAATGGGAGTTCACTCATGATTTGGCTCTGTGTCTGTTATTGGTGTATAAGAATGCTTGTGATTTTTGCACATTGATTTTGTATCCTGAGACTTTGCTGAAATTGCTTATCAGCTTAAGGAGATATTGGGCTGAGACAATGGGGTTTTCTAAATATACAATCATGTCATCTGCAAACAGGGACAATTTGACTTCCTCTTGTCTTAATTGAATATCCTTTATTTCTTTCTCCTGCCTGATTGCCCTGGCTAGAACTTCCAACACTATGTTGAATAGGAGTGGT